ACTGGCAAGATATAAGGATAAAGGGAGAGATGTGCCGGCAATTTGGTGGAGAAATAGGGAGCTCTGTGAATTTTGCTTGCACTCGTCTCTCAAACAGAGAGGGCCCTAAAATACAAAGGAAAACCTATCAGAGTGGTGACAGACCTATCTACTGAAACTTGGCAAAGCAGAAAGAAATAGCAGGAAATCTTCAATGTGATGAACAGAAAAAATATGCAGCCAAGAATCCTCTATTCAGCAAGCCTGTCATTCAGAATACAAGAAAAAACAAAAGTCTTTACAAATAAACAATAATTGAAAGTATTTGCCACCACTAATCCAGCCCTCCAAGAAATCCTGGGGGAGACTCTCTGAGGGATATGTTACAAGGAACACAAGGTACTAGAGACACCACTACAAGCATGAATCCCACAAACGATACAATGACTCTAAACCCATATATTTCAATAATAACACTGAACATAAATAGGCTGAATGCTCCAATCAAGAGACATAGGGAAGCAGAATGTATAAAATCAAAATACATCTATTTACTGTCTACAAGAAACTCATTTTAGACTTCAGATTGAAAGTAAGGGGATGGAGAATTATCTATCGTGCTACTGAAAGTCAAAAGAAAGCTGGAGTAGCTATACCTAAAACAGAAAAACTGGACTTAAAAAGACAGTAACAACGGAATGAAGAAAGGTATTATATAATAATTACAGGGTCTATCCATCAGGAAGAACTAACAATTATAAATGTCTACGCACCGAATATGGGAGCACCTGAATATATAAAACATTTAATCACAAACAGAAATAATTTTATGGATAGGAATGTGCTAATAGCAGGGGACTTTAATACTCCACTTACAGCAATGAATAGATCAACTAGAGAGAGAATCACTAAAGAAAAAACTAGGACTTGAATGGCATGTTGGACCAGATTGATTTGACAGATATATTTAGAATTTTTCATCCTGAGGCCAGGGAATTCACTTTCTTCTCAAGTGCACATGGCTCATTCTCCAAGATAGATCACATACTGGGACATAATGCAGCCCTCAACAAATATAAAAGAATTGAGATCATACCATGCTCACATTCAGATCACAATGTTCTGAATCTTGAAATCAATCCAGGAGAAAGGCTGGAAAACCTCCAAATATATGATGGGTAAAGAACACCTTAATAAAGAATGAATGGGCCAATCAGGCAATTAATTTAATTTACGAAATTAAAAAATATACGGAAACAAATGAAAATGAGAATACAACAATCCAAACTCTTTGGGATGCAGCAAAGCCAGTCCTAGAAGGAAAGTGTATTGCACTAGAGGCCTATTTCAAGAAATTAGAAAAAGCGCAGGTACAAAATCTAACAGTGCACCTAAAGTAACTATAGGGAGAGCAACAGGAGCACCCCAAACCCATTAGGAGAAGAGAAATATTAAAAATCTGGGTAGAAATAAACAATATAGAAACCAAAGAAAGAGTTGAAATGATGAACGAAACCAAAGGTTGGTTGTTTGAAAAAATAAACAAAATTAACAAACCTCTAGCCAGGCTTCTCAAAAGAAGAGAGAGAGCACTGAAATATACAAATTCATGAATGAAGAAGAACCTATTGCAAACAATCAGAAATACAAGCAATTATCATGGCATACTGTGAAAAATTAAATGCCAACAAACTATATAACTTAGAAGAAACGAACAAATTCCTAAACACACACACACTTACTACCAAAATTCACATGGGAAGAGATAGAAAATCTGAACAGATCCATAACTAGTGAGGAAACCGAATCGGTTATCAAAAATCTCCCAACAAATAAGAGCCCTGGGCCAGATGGCTTCCATGGGGAATTCTATCAGACATTTAAAACAGAATGAATAAACATTATTCACAAGCTATTCCAGAAACTACACATTGAAGGAATATTTCCTGACTCATTTTCTGAAGCCAGCCTCATTTTGATTCCAAAGTGTGACAGAGACCCAGTTAAAAAAAAAAAAAAAAGAACTACAGGCCGTTATGCTTTATGAATACGGATGTAAATATTCTCAACAAGATACTTGTAAATCGAATCCAACAGTACATAAAAGAAATTATCCACTATGTTCAAGTGGGATTCATTCCTGGGTTACAGGTATGGTTCAGTATTCTCAAATCAATCAATGTGATAATTCACATTAAGAAAAGAAATGAGAGGGGCGCCTGGGTGGCTTAGTCGGTTAAGCGTCGGACTTTCGCTTAGGTCATGATCTCGCGGTTCGTGGGTTCGAGCCCCGCGTCGGGCTCTGTGCTGACTGCCAGCTCAGAGCCTGGAGCCTATTTCAGAGTCTGTGTCTCCCTCTCTCTCTGACCCTCCCCTGCTCGCGCTGTCTCTCTCTCTCTCTCCTAGAAATAAATAAAAATATTTAAAAAAAAAAGAAAAGAAATGAGAAAAACCATATGATCCTGTCGATAGATGCAGAAAAAGCATTGGACGAGATACAGCATCCCTTCTTAATAAAGACCATCGAGAAAGTCAGGATAGAAGGAACTTATTTAAACATCAAAGAAGTCATCTATAAGAAGCATTCAGTTAACATCATCGTCAATGGGGAAAAACTGAGAGCTTTCCTCCTGACGGTAGGAACACGACAGGGATGTCCACTCTCACCACTGCTGTTTAACACAGTGCTGGAAGTCCTAGCATCATCCATCAGACAACAAAAGGAAATAAAAGGCATCAGAATAGGTAAAGAAGAGGTCAAATTTTCATTTTTCGCAGAGGACATGAACTCTACATAGAAAACGCAACAGACTCCAACAGAAGCCTACCAGAACTGGTCCATGAATGCAGCAAAGTTGCAGAGTACAAAATCAATATATAGAAATCGGCTGCATTTTTTATTCACCAACAATGAAGCAACAGAAGGAGAAATCAAGAAACTGATCCCATTCACAATTGCACAAAAACCCATAAAATACCTAGGAATAAACCTAACCAAAGATATCAAAGATCTTTATCATGAAAACTATAGAAAACTTATGAAGAAAATTGAAAAAGACACAAAGAAATGGGAAAACATTCCATGCTCATGGTGGGAAGAATAAAATAGTTAAAATGTCATTAGAACCCAAAGCAATCTATAATTCAATGTAATCCCTATCAAATTTGCACCAGCATTATCAAAACTGGAACAAACTATCCTATAATTTGTATGGAACCACAAAGGCGCTGTATACCCAAAGTAATGTTGAAGAAGAAAACCAAAATGGGAGGCATCACCATCCCGGAGTTTAGCCTCTACTATAAAGTTGTCAACAACAAGACACTATGGTATTGGCACAAAATCAGACACATAGACCAATGGAATAGAATTGAGAACTCAGAATTGGACCCACAAATGTATGGCCAACTAATCTTTGACAAAGCGTGAAAGAGTAATCAATGGAAAAAAGATAGCCTCTTTAAGATGATGCTGAGAGAACGAGACAACAACATGCAGAAGAATGAAGCTAGCTCATTTTCTCACACCATACAAAAAATAAACTCAAAATGGATAAAGGACCTAAATTTGAGACTGGAAACCATCAAAAGCCTAGATGAGAAAGCAGGAAAAAATCTCTCTCACCTCAACCACAGCAATTTCTTACTTCCTATCGCCAAGGCAAGGGAATAAAGAGCTAAAATGAACTACTGGGACCTTATGAAGATAAAAAAAAAAAATGCTTCTGCATGGCAAAGGAAACAATCCATAAAACTAATAGCCAACTGACGGAATGGGAAAAGAAGTTGCAAATGACATATCAGATTATCAGATAAAGGGCTAGTATCCAATATCTATAAGGAATTCATCAAACTGCACACCCAAAAAAGCAAATGATAAAGTGAAGTAATGGACAGAAGATATGGACTGACACTTCTCTAAAGAGGACATCAGGATAACAAACAGTCACATGAAAGGATGCTCAACATCCCTCCTTATCAGGGAAGTACAAATGAAAACCAAACTGAGATACCACCCCACGGCGGTCAAAGTGGCAAAAATGAACAAATCAGAGGACTCTAGATGCTGGCGAGGATGTGGAGAAACAGGAACCCTCCTACACTGTTGGTGGGAATGTAAGCTGGTGCAACCCATCTGGAAAACAGTATGGAGGTTGCCCAAAAATTTAACAATAGAAGTCTCCTATAACCCAGCAATAGCACTGCTAGGAATTTACCCAAGGGATACAGGAGTGCTGATGCATAAGACCACATGTACCACAATGTTCACAGCAGCACTTTCAACAATAGTCAAAACATGGAAAGAACCTAAGCGTCCATCAACTGATGAATGGATCAAGAAGATGTGGTATATTTATACAGTGGAATACTACATGGCAATGAGAAAGAATGAAATCTGGCCATGTGTAGCAACATGGATGGAACTAGAGGGTGTTATGCTGAGCGAAATAAGTCAGGAAGAGAAGGACAGATACCATATGTTTGCACCTATAGGTGGATTAGGAGGAAGTTAATGGAGGACGATTAGGGAAATATTTGGAAAAATAGTTGAGGAGAGGGAGGGAGGCAAACCATGAGAGACTCTTGAATGCTGAGAACAAACTGAGGGCTGATAAGAGTAGGGGAGAGGGGAATCAGGGTGATGGACATGGAGGAGGGCACTTGTTTGGATGAGCACTGGGTTTTATATGTAAACCAACTTGACAATAAACTATTGAAGAAAAAAAAACAATGACAGAATAAAAGAAAAAAAAGCTTCTGCACGGCAAAGGAAACAATTCATAAGACTAATATCCACTGACGGAATGGAAAAGAAAATTGCAAATGACATAGCAGATAAAAGGCTAGTATTCAAAATCTATAAGGAACTCACCAAACTCCACATCTGAAAAACGTAGAATCCAGTAATAAAAAGTTATTTTAAATAAAAATTTAAAAACTTTCTTCCTAAGCGAAAATCATAACCCTAGACTAACGATCCGAGGACTGACAGTGTGGGGGAGGTGAAGGGAGTGATGAACATGGAGGACGGCACTGTGGGTATGAGTACTTGGTGTTATATGGAAACCAGCTTACAATAAACTATTAAATAAATAGAAAATAAAAACTATCTTCACATCACTACACCCAATACTTATGAATATCTTCATAAAAAATCTCTAGTCTTTAATGTGTTTTATTTTTATTCCCAATTTTTAAATTAAGCTTCTATGAACATCTAATAATAAAAACAACTTATCAGAACAGGAAAAACTCCTACATTGATGTATATTTGTTTTTTGTTTTTTTTGTTTTTTTTTATATATTTTTTTAATTTTATTTCTAGGATAGAGAGAGACAGCGTGAACAGGGGAGGGTCAGAGAGAGAGGGAGACACAGACTCTGAAACAGGATCCAGGCTCTGAGCTGGGAGTCAGCACAGAGCCCGATGCGGGGCTCGAACCCACGAACTGCGAGATCATGACCTAAGCGAAAGTCAGACGCTTAACCGACTAAGCCACCCAGGCGCCCCAACATTGATGTATATTTGATCCTATGCCTCACTTCAGGTTGGTTGTTGTGGAAAGCATATAAATCACATATTCTCTAAACTTCACATCGACGTCTCAAGGCTGAGAAGAAAATTTATTGAAATACCAGACACTGGCTGCAATTCTGATTTAAAAAAATAGCCACTTAAAACATAACACTTGGTGACATTAATTCTTGCAAAGCCGACAACCATTAAATCCAATGATTCCTGATACAACCTCCAACATGGTTGTATTGGCAAGGATTTATGCTGTGCAGAATAAGCCCTACAAATAAGAGTTCATATCATATAATTACACATGTACACATTCTCTAAAACCAAAACTACTCTTAAGAAACATGAGAACGATTAATAGTTCCATGGGGACAGGATGAACAAAGGAACTAGGAGAGATGAATTCCAGGGGAACTATAAGAGATTTTAATGGGAATTAGGTGTTCAGTCTTGATCATGTTGAATCACATCAGTGTTCTATCATATCACACACTCGGCATGTGCACCTCACTCTATGTCAGGTACATGCATCAAAGCTCCTACAAATAAACAGAGATTACTCAGTAGGGACACAATGATAGTGACATGTTAAAGACTTAAAAATACACCTGCACTGACCCTGATTCTCTCTCTATTTAAGGTCAACTCCAGAGCAAGCAAAATTATCATGTACCCTTTACAGAAAGTGTTCCACATTCCTCAGGAGCCCGCCCGCTCAGGCCTGCAGGTGGACTGAGGGAGGTCGTAGGTCCTGTAGGGAGGAGCACCGGCTCAGATCCTGGGCTCACTCTAACCACATACGTGCACTTGGACACCTCACCACCCTATTCTATTTGATTGTAGGTTCACATCTCCTTATAGGATATGATGACACCTATACCCCATGAGTAGTGTGCAAATATAAAACCAAAGTCGCATCTGGAGCAAAAGTGTGATCTCTGGAAAATGATATTAACAACTTTTATTTATTCAAAATCTGTCAATATACAAATTAAAGAGATTTACATCTGTTCAGGTCACTGTCCTCTTTGTAACGACTGAATACATAGCTGCTTATATATGCAGAGAACATGCAAATAAGACCCTCCATGTGCTGATTAAAACAGACCAGCCCTGGGGCGCCTGGGTGGCTTGGTCGGTTGGGCGTCCGACTTTCGCTTGGGTCGTGATCTCGCGGTTCGTGGGTTCGTGCCCCGCGTCGGGCTCTGTGCTGACAGCTCGGAGCCTGGAGCCTGTTTCGGAGTCTGTGACTGCCTCTCTCTCTGACCCTCCCCTGGTCACGCTGTCTCTCTCTCTCCTAGAAATGGATAAAAACATTAAAAAAAAATTAAAAAAAAAAAAACAGACCAGCCCTGACCCTGCAGCTGGGAGAGGAGCTCTATTCCCGGGAGTCCCAGGTGTTTCCATTCTGTGATCAGGACAGAACACAGACATCTCACAATGAAGTTTGTGCTTGCCTGGGTTTTCCTTGTTGCTGTTTTAAAAGGTAATTCATGGTGAACAAGAGACACTGAGTGATATGAGTGAGAGTAACACTAGATGTGTGACAGTTTCCTGACAAGGATGTCTTGTGTCTACAGGTGTCCAGTGTGAGATGCAGCTGGTGGAGTCTGGAAGAGGCCTGGTGAAGCCTGGAGGGTCCCTGAGACTCTCCTGTGCAGCCTCCGGATTCACCTTAAGTAGTTCCTACATGAGCTGGGTCCGCCAGGCTCCAGGAAAGGGGCTGGAGTGGGTTGCATATATTAAAAGTGGTGGAAGCACATACTATGCAGACTCCTTGAAGGGCCGATTCACCATCTCCAGAGACAACGCCAAGAACACGCTGTATCTGCAGATGGACAACCTGAGAGTCGAAGACACGGCCACGTATTTCTGTGGGAGAGACACGGTGAGGAGTCATCAGTGAGAGCCCAGACACAAACATCCCTGGAGAAGGAGTTCAGCACCACCAGGGGGCGCACACTATGCACAGCTCTGGTTTATATTCTCAGGAGTAGGACAGATGCAGGTTACAGGCAGGTTTCCTGTCAGGGCCTGGGGCTTCCTCCCCATAGAGTAGTTTCCCCTAGGGATTCCTTATTGACACATGATTTTGTACTTAACTTTCATTCTCTGAATGAAATACTTGGAATAGGAAACGTATACTAACACGCACAGAAGACAGAGGTGTTTACACTAGCTTAACCCTTCCCACTAGAAATGAATTAATTACAGATATCTTCACGAACATGAAATGAAGCATTACAAGATTCCTTGTTGCACTCACTGTTTACTGCACGCCCGCCCAGCTCAGTGTGCAAGCTCGCTAGAAGCACCATACAGTGCATGGTGGACACGAAGCTGCAGAGGCACCGAATATCTTCATCTAGAGAAGACAGGCTCCTGGTGGTCTCATTGTGGGAAGCATGTTCACTGCATCAATATTAGTTGAAAGTATGGGAAAACACATGGACCCCCACCAGGGCATGGTGTGGATGGGGAGCCTGAAGTTCACACACACACACACACACACACACACACACACACACACACGTGGGGTGAGGGAGAGAGAGAGAGAGAGAAATAGGAGAGTATGAAACTTTCATGGACTTCATCATTTCAGAAGTGTGAAATTAGTTAAACTGGATCTGACACAAAAAGTCATCAGACCTGTGTGTCCTTCTGAGGCTCAACTGCACACCTTGAATTTCTGGTCATGGTATGTTATTTCCTTAGAATCTAGCCGGGAGAATCTTACTGCAGACACCAGGTGGTTTTTCTTGTGGAGCAAATAATGCCCTTGCCTTGGTCTCATAAGGGTGGTGTGATTTCTTTCATGTTCATGCAAATTCCAGGACAATATCGCCTTCCCAAAGTCCCAAACTCTGAGTCCTGCACTCAGAGTTCAATGTCACTTGTTTCATAGATAGTGATACTCACTGTCCTTGTGCATCTGTATCTTGATTCCTTAGGAGGTATTTTCCAGAAACTCCCCACACACATTGATCCACCATCTGCTCTGAGAGATGATCAGTTGTCATTTCTCCTGCAATACCTTCCCTGCTCTCTTGGAGCACAACCTCGTATGCACTACTTGAGTTGTTGACATGGAATATATCACACTTCACCCTCATCAATTTACAAACAATAACTGCCTATTTTATGTAACAGAAAAACAGGACATTGTTCAGTACGGGACAAGGATGTGTTTACAAAACAAACCTGGATAAAACCTCTGTGTTTCTTCCTGTGCTTCCTATTTCCTCTCTGTCCAGGAAGCGGGATGCGGTGTCATAGGGACATGAGGCTCTGATGGACAGTGAATTCGGTGTCCTGCATGAAACCAGCACTGACCCCAACCTCAGAGGAGACACAGGAAATACCCTTCTACTCTCGGCGTCCTTACATTTTCTTGACATCCCAGAAATGTGCACCTGAAATCATACCTCTGTCCCTTTGGTGAAATTGTGCCCCATGGATACTGGAGGTCAGGACCACCACCACCCTGAGCATGAAGCTCTTTGGGAGGGACGTTCTCAAGAGAAGCACATCCAATTTGGGTTCTTCATCTATCTGTTATCAGTCATTCTGTGTGTGTATCTCATACATTCCAGATTGTAAGCTCAGTTACTAATCTTACACACCTGCTTCCTTGTGACTCTGCTCAGGTTGTGTGTACTCATCCAGGTGAACTTGGAGAAGGAGACTCGGGTGAATAGACTCTCTCAGTCTCTCTCTTTATCTGCGTCACCACTAAATTCTCACCAACAACATTCGACTTCAGGGTTTTTTTTCATTTAATTCAGTATTTGCAACTCTAGCCTCCAGTTTTGCTGTGCATAGTGAGCAGGCTGTGCTCAGTTATGTTAAGGTAAGACATTTGGACATTGGATTCTTTTAAAAGAGGATCATGGAGGAGAAGAAGGGATAAATAGTGGGGGAGAAGGAGGGAGGCAAACCATGAGAGAGTCTTGAATGCCGAGAACAAAGTGAGGGCTGATGGGGGTGGGGGGAAGTGTAAGGGGAGTGATGGGCATGGAGGAGGGAACTTGCGGAGATGAGCACTGGATGTTGTATGAAAACCAAATTGACAGTAAACTATTTTTTAAAAATGTATTCATTTAAACAAAATAGTGGATACATTGTCTAATTTTAATGCACTTCTTTCTCTAGCAACCTTGATATAACTCTTCTTTTGAAAATCAATGATGACATATATATGCTAATGAATATATTATTAGATTTTGTACTTCTAGAATTTTTATTGTAAGTAGTTGTATAACTAAGTTGTATAACTACTAGGTAGTTGTATAACTAATACATTTTAAATCTGACAATAAGTCACATATTTGTATTTAACATATGAATTTATGATGCAACATCAGTTATCAAAATAACTTAAAGTAACAATTAGCTTTTGATTATCAGTTGAAATATTATATTCCCATTTTGAAATATTTTATTATTTGCTCAGGTGTCCAGAATATAATCTAGATAATATAGTGGCATAAAAATGTATTTATTTTTTTCAGAATTGAAGATTTTAACTTCTTTCTTGTAATTGTTTAGCAATGAATTTATTTCAAAGCTAAATATCATCTGTTTCAGATATTACTTTGGAATAAAAATTTAACCCATAATTCCCTTCTAGATGTAGAAGGGAATTTCCCTTCATAATTCCCTTTCACTGCAACTCATGTCTAGAATATACATGTGCAGATAATCTTGTACGTTGTACATGCATTGTGTCTCCATGGATGTCATTTGTCTCAAAGACACATGATTACAGAAAGTACTAGACTGTCATCTGTATCATACACTCCACCTTCCAGAACACGCAGATAATCGTACTTTCCTAACACCTCCTGCCATTCTGGTGCAGTCACATCCCATGTTTCCGGCAAGGATGCCTCCAGAAATATCTGGGACGGAGGACAGCTGGCTGCCCCAGCCACCTGCTCAGTAAACTACAGAAGGACATGAAGTGAACTACGGAAGAACAACGGCCCTTCTGCCTGTTTGGACCCAAGTGTTACAGACGCAGACCTATCCAGTTGATGTCGTAAGTTTGCTGGCAATGTGAGTTTATCTTCAGGATAAAATAGAGTAGGTACCCTGGAGGATTGAGAACACACATGCCACACCTTCTAATTGATAGGAGTCTACAAGCCAGCACAGGGCGATGTGTATTTAAATCTAGTGCTGCTGTCAGAGCTGAAAAGCAGAATGTGGATGAATCCGGAGCCTAGGGAGGTGAAGGAGAGGAAGAAATTCTCTTCCATCAACGGTTCTTATGGACAAATAATTAAGTTCACAGGAGATGGATTAACAGGAGAAAGAAACCAAAGATTCATTACATGTGCACCGATTTCCAGTAAAGAAAATCAGATTCAAAGAAATAAACAAGTCAGATAATTATATACATTTTAGAGAAGGAAGAAACCAACTTGACAATAAACTATTTGAAAAAAAATAAACATTAAATTAAAAAGATGTTACGCTAATAATTAAAAAAAGAAAAGAAAAAGAAAATACATTTGCCCAGAACTTATATGAAACCAATCCCAACATGCGACACTCGGGATATAAGGGTGGCTGAGGTATTCAGGGGGCACCCAGGACCTCAGAGATCATATCCAGAACTGATACTGTTTCACCATCTATTACCTGTGGATCACCTTGATCATCATGTCCTGCAAACTTCATCGTGACCAGCAAACTGTACAAACTCTTTTCTAAAACCTTTCCAAACACAGTTGTCGTCTCATGTTTACAGCGAACTGTTATAATAGTAATGCCTACTTTGACAGTGACCAAATTCTGGGATAAATCAGTTCATATAACCAGACCAGTGCCTCTGTGCATTGACAAGTACAGTGGCCACTAACTAAAATATGTATAAAGTGGGGTGCCTGGGTGGCTCAGTCGGTTAAACGTCTGACTTTGGCTCAGGTCATGATCATGAGGTTCATGGGTTCAAGGCCCGCATCGGGCTCTGTGCTGACAGATAGCTCAGAGCATGGAGCCTGCTTCAGATTCTTTTTTTTTTTCTCTCTCTGACCCTCCCCTACTCACGCTGTGTCTCTGTCTCTCTCAGAAAAAAAAAAAAAACATGAAAAAAAAATTAAAACATGTATAAAGTAATTTACAAACAGAGGAAACTGACTCATATCAAGTGTTCTCAATTTCATTGATTTCAGCAACTCCTGTCTCTTTTATCTTCTTTAAGGTTTTATTTTGAAGTCTATGAAGAGAAACCGTGAGTAATGACCCTTGTGGTTGTCGAAACCTCACAGCATCTCCATCAGCTCCATGACTCTCTCTCAAGGATTCTCAGTATCTCCATGCTCCTGTGAGAGAAGAGTTTTTCTGTACACTTTATTCCTTTTGTTTTCCCTCCAGATTAGGAATCCAGAGATCCCCAGTAAAGAGTGGGAGGAGACGCCAGTATCGTTGTTCACATTGAGTCCAGTCTCACAAGACTGGCAACCAGGGGTCCATTTTTCTGGAATAGTAGGAATGCTTCACAAGATACACCTATTTCCTCCACATGCCTCTCTCCACAACATGAGGCCCAGAACTTCCTCACACTCAGCTGGAAATGAAGTCAGATATAAGGGACCAGATTTTGAATTCCATTTAATGGTTTATTTTCACCATCCTCTTTTCCATGCAGCTACACTATGTTGTAAACCCATCAAGAATATTCCAGGATTTCCTGTCCTCCACATCCTCACCAACATATGATATGTTCTGAAAATATTTGTTTTGGTATTAACATAGCTTTGCTAAGAGCTGTGATGTGATAGCTCAGTGGTTTGGGGGTGGATTTTTCTGATGGTTAGTGATGTTGAACATCCTGTCATGTGCTTGATGGACATTTGTCTGTCTTTTGAGAGAAACGGATAT